AGGGACCTAACAGAAGCAGAAGACATCAAGAAGAGGTGGCAAGAATACACAGAGGAATTATACCAGAAATATCTGGATATCCCGGACAACCAAGATAGTGTGGTTGCTGACCTTGAGCCAGACATCCTGGAGTGAAGTCAAGTGGGCCTTAGAAAGCATGGCTAACAACAAGGCCAGTGGAGATGATGGCATTCCAGTTGAACTATTTAAAATCTTAAAAGATGATGCTGTTAAGGTGCTACACTCAATATGCCAGCAAGTTTGGAAAACTCAGCAGTGGCCAGAGGATTGGAAAATATCAATCTACATCCCAATCCCAAGGAAGGGCAGTGCCAAAGAATGCTTCAACTACCGTACAACTGCTCTCATTTCACATGCTAGCAAGATTATGCTCAAATCCTACTAGGTAGGCTTCAGCGGTAGGTGGACCAAGAATTCCCAGAAGCACAAGCTGGATTTCGAAGGGGCAGAGGAACTAGAGATCAAATTGTTAACATGCGCTGGATTATGGAGAAAGCCAGAGAGTTCCATAAAAACATCTACTTCTGCTTCATTTACTAAGCAAAAGCCTGTGACTGTGTCGAACACAACAAACTATGGCAAGTCCTTAAAGAAATGGGATGCATGACCACCTTATCTATCTCCTGAGAAATCTATATGTGGGACAGGAAGCAACACTTAGAACTGGATGTGGAAGAACTGATTGGTTCAAAATTGGGAAAGGAGTATGGCAGGAAAGCCATGGCAAGCCTAGACAGCATCTTAAAAAGCAAAGGCATCACCTTGCCGACAAAGGTCCGCATAGTCAAAGCTATGGTTTTTCCAGTAGTGAGAGCTCGCCCCTAAAGAAGAATTGATGCTTTTAAAATGTGGTGCTGTAGGAGACTCTTGAGAGTCCCCATGACTGCAAGGAGATCAAACGTATCCATTCTAAAGGAAATCAACCCTGAGTGCTCACTGGAAGGACAGATCCTGAGGCTGAGGCTCCAATACTTTGAACATCTCACAAGGAGACTCCCTGGAAAAGACTCGGGAGAAGGGGTTGACAGAGGACGAGATGGTTGGACAGTGTCATTGAAGCCACCAACATGAATTTGACCAAACTCCGGAAGGCAGTGGAAGATAGGAGGGCCTGTTGTGCTCGGACATGACTTAACGACTAAACAACAAAAAAAGCGAAAATGCAGTTTGCTTTAATAACTTGATTTGCAAAACACTATTCCTATGAGCTCACCTTGTTCTATCTTCAGAGTTTCTGACCATAGAGTTCTAACTCTCATAGTCATCTTGAGATATGAAAAAGGCAAAGGGCATATTCCATTAGAATAGTGTTGCATCAATCAAGAATAAATCAGTCTGTATACTACCTGATCTATTTGTCCCCAGTACGATTCAGAGAGCATATGACTCTGACATGATTCATGATTCAACATGTTACCTTGTTGTTGGCGGTGCCATGTTTAATTATAGTTTGCCATATACTTTTTATCACAACTTGTTTTATAGGGTTTTAAAAATTGTTACGTACACATACACAAAGTGTGTGTAGAACATGCAGATACACTACTGTGAGTATTACAGCCTCAATACTTTGATAATCTTGTTTTTCAGGATACACATCTATGCATGTGTTTGTGCTAACTCATTTTTTATCGAATAGATAAATGGATGTGGGATAGTAAAATAGGACTAAGCTAGGTTTAGACAAAATATGCTAACATGGGATTTATCCCTTTGATTTCTTTTTCCTTTTTCTGTACACTGATGTCATCTAACACTATCAATTAAGTACATGTTCTTATAGGAAATATGAATTAGGCCCCCTATGTATGTGTAAAGGGATGTGGTAGCACTGCAGGTTAAACTGCAGAAGCCTCTCTGTGCTGCAAGATTGGAAGACCAGCAGTCATAACATCGAATCCACGTTGCTTGTCCCAGCTACTGCCAACCTAGCAGCTTGAAAGCATGCAAATGCAAGTAGATAAATAGGTAGCACCTCAGTGGGAAGCTAATGGCATTCCGTGTTTAGTCGCGCTGGCCACGTGACCATGGAAACTATCTTCGGACAAATGCTGGCTCTATGGGTTGGAAACGGGGATGAGCACCGTGCCCTAGAGTTGAACACGACTGGACTAAATGTCAAGGAGAACCTTTACATGTGTATGTATATATTATGTAATAGATACACACACACACACATTTATAGACCCTTATATACCAATATGAATGTTTTATCTTATTCTTCCCACTCTCTCTCATGTAGACACAGTCACCATTCTTATATTGAACTTCTTGTTATCGTTTAGTCATTAAGTTGTGTCCGACTCTTCGTGACCCCATGGACCAGAACATGCCAGGTCCTCCTGTCTTTCTATGTAATAGATACACACACACACACATTTATAGACCCTTATATACCAATATGAATGTTTTATCTTATTCTTCCCACTCTCTCTCATGTAGACACAGTCACCATTCTTATATTGAACTTCTTGTTATCGTTTAGTCATTAAGTTGTGTCCGACTCTTCGTGACCCCATGGACCAGAACATGCCAGGTCCTCCTGTCTTTCACTGCCTCCCGGAGTTGGGTCAAATTCATGTTGGGAGCTTCGGTGACACTGTCCAAACATCTCGTCCTCTGTCGTCCCCTTCTCCTCTTGCCTTCACACTTTCCCAACATCAGGGTCTTTTCCGGGGAGTCTTCTCTTCTCATGAGATGGCCAAAGTACTGGAGCCTCAGCTTCCGGATCTGTCCTTCCAGTGAGCACTCAGGGTTGATTACCTTCAAAATGGATAAGTTTGTTTTCTTTTCAGTCCAGGGGACTCTCAAGAGTCTCCTCCAGCACCACAATTCAAAAGCATCAATTTTTTGGCGTTCAGCCTTCTTTATGGTCCAGCTCTCAGTTCTATACGTCACTACTGGAAAAACTTCTTACAAAACTATTGAACTTCTTACAAAACTGTATTTCTGATCATTTATCCCTAGCCTGTGTATCTAGAAATAGATGAGTTCACACAGTGCTTCATAGTTCCTATTTCACATCCAGTATCTTTGTTTATGACTTATTTTATTTGTTCCATGAAGTGAAAGTCAGGTTCTAGTAACCTTCATGCATGTAACAGATCATTCCTCAGTTTAAAAAAAATGATTGTATTATCTGGTACATTCTTTATTCCTGTGGAAGAAAATAAATTTTTCAAACCTTAGATTTTGTTAATATTAATGTTAATATTATCTATAATTGCCATTGTCACTAATGAGACAACCTTAATTATTAGAATACAACAAAATTCACTAGAAGTAGAAATGCATTCATTATCCATTGATAGTTTATGAGTAAGATACTTTATATGGATAAGAAACACCTTACGTAGACACATACAGAGGGAAGGAGCAAGCATATGAAAATACTTAGATGGAACATTTATCTATTTGGATTAGGTTCTATATATAATATAAATATATAATATAAATAGCATTGGCTATTGCCAGTCTGCCCCTACTCATCAAATTGTATGAAATACCAGACTATAAATGTGTCTGTGTATGTGTGTGTGTGTGGACACGCGCCCGCACACACACACACACCTCTCTAGAATCCTGTTTGTGCTAGGTTCCAGATTTCATAGTCTTATGGCTATGGTTCTAATATAATCTTTTTTTTTTTTTAAAGATGCTGTATTAGTAGTTCTTACTTATTTGTATGCCTCCATTCAGCTTGATAATTTTAAAAAAAAAGATGCTGTATTAGTAGTTCTTAGTTATTTGTATGCCTCCATTCAGCTTGATAATTGCTCACTGCCATCACCAATCTTTTAAAAATCTTCTAGTTGTGCCCTGTATTTGACTATCTTCTCTTGCATATGCAATGTAACATAAATTTGTTTGTATTAATATATTATATTAACCTGAACCTCCCCTCCAAGCCCTAAAGAAACCATGTAAGCCTTTGAATTAATGGTCTGCATATCCTGAGTATAACTCTTAATGAGAACATATATGTTACAAAGATGCTTTTTTCTGAACTTTTCTGGTAACAAGAATAAACAGGCCAGTAAGCAATCCTCTCATTTTTTCCAAAAAGGAGCTATTCCTCTGTATTGTGACAACCTGCAAGTACATAAGGAATTATTTGTTTGATGGAAATATCAACTTGTTTTATTAAATCTACAGATTATCGAGTAAATGATAATGCTCAAACAATCCCATACAACCAAAACTATGATCAGAATACAGGAGGGTCTTACAACAGCTCCGATCGAGGAAGCAGTACATCTGGTGAGTATGACCTAGAATCTAGAGCAGAGGTCCCCAACCCCCGGTCGCTAGAATCTAGAGCAGAGGTTCCCAACCCCCGGTCCATCGCCTAGTGCTAGTCCGTGGCCTGAGCAGGACTGGGCCGCAGAGAAAGACCTCCCCCCACCCCGCACGCACCCCTCTTGCACAGCCCTTTTGCACATGTGTGCACGCATGGCCTGAGCAGTACTGGGCCGCAGAGACACACCTCCCCCCACCCCTGCACGCACCCCCCCTGCACAGCCCTTTTGCACATGTGTGCACGCTCCCTTTGCACATGCACAAGTGCCCCTGAGCACCACACCCTTTGCACATGTGCACGAGTGCACATGTTCCCCACGAGAGCATGCCTGCTCCTTCGTGCATGCGCACAAGCGTGGGGGGTTCCCCACCTTCCCCAGCCGGTCTGTAAAAAAGGTTGGGGACCACTGATCTAGAGCACATTTAGAAGGTATTAATTAATATTAGGAAGAAATACAAACATCCTACATTACTTTGTAGGGCTAGTTTATTCTGTTATGGTGCCTACTAATGCTCAGGTTTCTGTAAGGTTTTGAATACAAACATCTGAATTTCACAAATATTTTCCTCCTTCGATTTTGAGTATGATGGAGGGAAATGATTTAGCGTAAGCATAGGGAAGTGCTCATTTTTCACAGTGGGTGTAGGGAACACTCTGGCTCATTGTTTAAAAAAAAGAATGACACCAATAAACTCGTTGCTGTCTATGGAAACCTTAGTACAGCAAGACAGGCGCCTCATCTATCGTTAGGATCAGTGTGTGGCAGCAAGTTTATGTACATTTATACTGAATATGCTTAGTCATTATACATAATGAAATGTACTTCTGCAGTTCTAGAAAATACACTGAAAGTTGGTCTGAAAGCACTAGGAAGAAATAAATCAAAAGGGGCAGATGGATTACCCACAGAACTATTCTAAGCCACAGAGACCAACTCTGTCAAAATTCTAAGAATAAGCCAACAAATATGCAAAACAAAACAATGGTCCACAGACTGGAAATGCTCAGTATACATTCCAGTCCTCAAGAAAGAGGATGCCAAGGAGTGCAGTAAATTTAGGACCATTGCTCCAATTTCCCATGCAAGCAAACTGATGCTGAAGGTATTGCAACAAAGGTCCTTCATTCCTTTTATGGAGCGAAAAATGCTTGATGTTCAAGCTGGATTCTGAAAAAGAAGAGGCACTCAAGATCAAATTGCAAATATCCGCTGGCTATTGGAGCTTGCCAAAGAATTCCAGAAGATCACTCTATGCTCTTTAGGCTACAACTAAGTCTTTGATTGCGTGGATCAAGAGAAACTATGAATTATTCTGAAAGAAATGGGTTTACATCAGTTCTTTAATGTCCTGATGACCTGTAATGTTGGACAAGAAGTTACTGTTAGGATAGAATATGGAGAGACAGAATTGTTTCCTGTAGGCAAGGTGTCAGACAAAGGGTGCATTTTATCTTCATATCTGTTCAATCTATATGCAAAACATATCATATGGAAGCTGGATTATATTCAGATGACAGAAGAGTGAAAATTGGAGGAAGAAACAGCAATAATTTAAGATCATTAATCTAAGATAAATCTTAATAATTTGATTCTGCCAGATAACTATCTTATTGGCAGAAAACAACAATGACTTGGAATGACTTCTGATGAAAGTGAAAGAAGAAAGTGCCAAAAGAGGGCTCTAGTTGAATATTAGGAAGACAAAAATCATTACCACTGAAGACCTACACAACTTTAACATTGACAAAGACATTGAAATTATTTAAAATTTTTATATACCTTGATTCAGTCCTCAATCCAAATGGGGACTGCAGCCTAGAAACCATAAAAAATCCTGAGACTTGGAAGGGTAGCAATGAAGGAATTAGAAAAAGTACATCAACTATAAGGACACATCACTGGAGACCAATACCAAGACCATTCACACTCTTGAATTTCTGATCACTATATGGTTGTGAAAGCTAGACAATGAAGAAAGTTGTCAGGAAGAAAACTGATTCATTTGGAATATGGTTCTGGAAGAGAGCTTTATACCATGGACTTGCAGAAAGATGAACAAGTGGGTCCTACATCAAATCAAGTCTGATTTTTTTTCTGGAGGCAAAAATTATGAAACTGAGGCTGTCATATTTTGTGCATATCATGATAGAGAAGTCAAGATTTACTGGGGGAGAAATAATGTTGGAAAAGGTTGAAAACAGCCAGAAAAGAGGAATACCAAATATTATAGACTCCCTAAAGAAGCCATAGTTTTGAGTTTACAAGAGCTGAACAGGGTTGTTGAGAGCAGGACATTTTGGAGGTCATTCATTCATAGGGTTGCTATAAATCAGAGATGACTTGATAGCACATAAAAACAATATTGTAATATAAATTCTACATACAGCTTCTGCAAATACATTGGAATTTCTGAGAGCCCTCTCCCAATCCTAGGCACTTGTGTTGTGCTAAAAGCCATTCAACATAGTGTTATATAAGGACCTACAATTACAAGAAAACGTAGCAGAAACTCCAGTGCATGAGAAGTTTGTTTGGCTCTAATTTCATTGCAGACTAAATTCACATTCCCTAAATCTGAGCACAAACTACCGTGTTTCCCTGAAGATAAGACAGGGTCTTATACTAATTTTTGCTCCCAAAAATGCTTATTTTCAGGGGATATTTTTTTTTCATGTATAACAATCTACATTTATTCAAATACAGCTGTTATCTTCTGGTTGCTGCACAATGGAGGAGGGCAGGGTTTCACTTAACTGCGGCTTATTTTTGGGGTAGGGCTTATATTATGAGTATCCTGAAAAATCATACTAGGGCTTATTTTCAGGTTCGATCTTATTTTCAGGAAAACAGGGTAGTGAGATATTGAAATTTATGTAATTCCAAGGTTTGTCATGCAGTTTGGGGTTGGGGGTATCATACATTTTAAGTGCACTATTGCTGGATAGCTCAGTGGTTTAGGCATCTGGCAGCAGGGGCTGAGAGTTCAATATCCCACTGTGCCTCCCTGACAGGGGCTGGACTCGATGATCCATAGGGTTCCTTCCAGCTCTGCAGTTCAATGGTTATTTCAAAGGTTTTTTGTAGTGGCATTTTTAAATATAAAAAACTGATTACATGTATTAGGATGATGCCCTAAATTACTTGTTCCCTATTCCTTTTTCCTTTTCTATTACAATTCTGCACATCTATTATTAGATTGTAATATAAGGACAGAATAGAATAGAATAGTATTTATTTATTACGGCCAGGTGACCAGCCCACAAAACAGATCCATGGATAAAACATACAAAATACAGTTTAAAATATACAAACAATTCACAAAACATACCATGTGGCCAAAATACACAAAATGCAGTTCAAAAGTGTATAGCCAATCCGTAAAACACACTACATGGTCAAAACACACAAAATGCAATTTAAAAAGTGCACAACAAACAATCAACCTTGCACTGATTGTAAAACACGGGGAGAATAAAACACAGCACCTCTACAGCTATCCCCCGGGCCATTATCCCTTCAGTTGAGACCATAACACCTCTGCATGCTAGACAATAAACCACCCCCATGCCAAAACCAGTCAACCTGTGAGCTCAGGAGACTACAAGGAAGCACTGTGCCATTGCTGCTGCACAAAACCTTGCTGCAGAGTGTGTAATAAGGGAGTATTTATCAGAAAGAAGTTGCTTGATGTAAAATTCATCTGATCTCCCTGGATATCTGGGAATGATTGGGCTCAGGAGGTTGGTGCATAGATCTCTATAGAAAAGACAATACAGTAAAGCATGACCTACAATTTCCACTTGGTCATCATTACATGGACACAGGCAATCTGAGATAGGTGCATGTTGAAATCTTCCCTCCATGAGCTTAGAGGGTAAAACATTAAGTCTCGCTAATGTGAAGGCTCTTCTGGTCTTTGTTGACATTGTGCTTGTCAAATATGAAGATATTGTAAAGGCATTATTAGTAACAACACTGTATTTGCCTAACTGGCTCATATGCTCTTGAAGTTCCATGTCCCAGATTCTTTATTTGAATGCTGCTTTAGCGCTGATATGCCCCATCGCCAAAAGAACATTGGTGGAAAAGCCCATTTGCCTTATTTCTTTTGTAAGTTGTAGTTTCCATGCTGATTGAAAGGGGTCAAAAAGTGGCAACTGTACCAAGCCTTCTGAAGAGAAGAGAAGCTTTAGCCAGTAATTAAACATGTGGACTTTGGCATGCACTCTTATGGTGATTAAGCCAGCCTCCAGTTGAAGGGCTACATTTGACTGTACAGGGAGGTACAGTCAAAATAGATCTCAAAAATTTGGTTTGAACTACCTCAAGAGGACATAGGTCAGATAAAGCAAACAAATATTTGGGCATAATCTTTCATGCCTCAGGTTCCCCCACATAAAGCACGCAGCACTGAATGCTCATAAAAGTGCAGCGGCATTAACAAGATTTTTTCACACCAAAGGGGGTCACCATATCGCCTCAGCCATTCAGGTTTTCAAGGCTATATTGCTCAAATGCTCTACGGGTGCCAATTGTTTGCTTTATCTAAGGAAAAAAAAATAAGGACATGGATATTTTATTAATCTTTGTAAGCTTAATTGCAAACTTACAGTTACATATTATGAGTTTTGTAAGTCGAAGACCTGGGTAAAAATACATCAAAGAAATAAATATTTGTATTCTCGAAGGCTTTCAGAGGGATTTTTCTTTGAAATATTTAATAATAAATTGTTTTAAATATTCAGATGTAAAAATACTATTATTGGAACTTAAAATGCCCAGAAATATACAGCTGTCACAGCAAGAAGCATACAAATTAGTGGGCTATCTCTCAAGTACAAATTCTGATTACATTCATGTCAAATTTCCACTCAAAATGCAATGGCACCTGAATAATTGGTATTTTCCCCAAAAGCTGTTTAAATTACTACAGCTGGTATCATTCTACTGTGAGCCATAATTTTCCATGAAGAGAAGCTGAAAACATTTATGCCATACTTTCTTTTGCTGTTTTAATTTCATTTTGTTGTATTTTAGTTTTTTCATTAATTATTTCCAACTTTACCTATCATTTGGAATAAATTTAATATTTCATTGTGTTCAAAACATTACAGTGAATGAATAAAAATTGCATAGGTTCATTAATATAATTGTGGAATTTTTGGTGTATGATCTCTTAAATAAATAAAATATTGTGAGTTGGGCTTCAGTGGTTAAATAACAGAAAGAAACTATAGATCATATCTAAAGCTCATTTGTTTCAGATGATAATCTATAATGCAATTAATAGCTATAGAAGACTATTCTATTAATTTTGAATTTAAAATTCATTTCCTGATTTAATGTGCTTTAGTCATTTATTAATTCACATTATGAGCCCCATGTAATTTTGTTGAAATGCATTATTCCAAAACATGTGCAGATCTTGACTTGGACTAAAAGCACAGTTGTATATTGTCATTTTCTGTTTCTATAGTCTAGAGCTAATATTTGTACTAAGCTTTCTGTAAAATATTGTTCTTGGTGAATAAGCATGTGAATTGTCATCTAATTAACACCTAATAACAGAAACCAAATAACCTAGTCATATGTATGAATCTCTTAGAACAGTGGTTCTTAACCTTGGGTTACTCAGGAGTTTTGGACTGCAACTCCCAGAAGCCTTCACCACCAACTGTGCTGGCTGGGGTTTCTGGGAGTTGCAGTTCAAAAACATCCAAGTAACAAAGGTTAAGAACCACTGTCTTAGAATACTGTATCTCATAGGTCTGATCAATTGTTTGTTCGAGGGAGTATGATATAGTGACTTAAATATATGTTTTCATAGGGAGTCAAGGGCATAAGAAGGGTGCTAGAACTCCCAAGGCATCAAAGCAGGCTGGTATGAACTGGGCAGACCTACTTCCACCTCCTCCTGTACATCCTCCACCGCATAGTAACAGCGAAGACTACAGTTTATCTGTAAATGAAAAGTAAGACAAAATAATGTTTCATAAATATGTATTTTGCCAACCTAGTCATCTAAATTCACTCAGTTAACTGACTAAAAGGCCTTTGCTTTTTGACTCTTGAAACTATAGAAAAGATAGGCATAAACATTTTTTCAGAAATACAAGCAAAGAGAAAGAGCTGCAGAATATTACAGTGGAAAGAATTCAGAGAAATTTAATATATTTGAAAGGAGATTATTTTGAATTGTGCAATAAGAATTCAAGAATGTTGATTAGAGTAACACAAATTTAAAAAGTTAAGAGTTAATTGGAGGAGTTAAAAGATGACATGAGTAAAAAGAACAAACTGATGAAAGATAAATTGGAAGTGTTTCAGTACTTTTCCATTAATTATATATGTGGGAGGGAGTTATCTTTGGAGAAGATTAGACAACATATTGAGAAAAATGTTTGAAATACACCTCAAGATATGGATAGAAATTTGATGGAACAGCCTGTTACAGAAGAGATAGAAGATACTATTAATAAATCAAAGGTAGGAAAGACTCTGGGGATAGATGGATTGGGATGGGGCTATTATAACGTTTTTAGAAAAATATTGATACCTAAGTTAAAACTCCATCTTACTAAAATAACAGAAGGGGACGGGATTCTGTCATCTTCGAACTATTCATTAATTATTTCAACTCCAAAGCCAAATAAAGGCCCCACAGATCCTGGGTCTTATAGGCCTAGTTCCTTAATAAATCAAGTTGCTAACAACATCTTGGTTTAATCTTATTCAATTCTAATAATGGACTAAACAATAGATTGAAAATGGTACATGCAAAGAACTTCCAAGATCTGAAGAACTAGTAGTACAGAAAGAAAAGGTGGATGAAAATAAGATAATGAAACGGATAAATAAAGTTTTTAATAGAAGTGAAGGATCAACAAAATGTTCTTAAAGCAATATGGGAATATGATTCGGAATAAGAATTATGTACTGAAGGATGCAAGAACATATGGAAGAAAAAAGTAATAACGTGTATTCGACAAGAATAAGGGAATTTTTTTTACAAATTAATCTAGAAATGGTATTTAACTACAGTGAAATTAAATCATATGGATACTAAGTATTCTAATTTATAATGTCAGGAAGTAGGTTCTTATTTCCACATGTGGTGGGAATGTGAAAATATACTGAAAATTTGGAGAGTCTTCATGGAAATAACTGAAATAGTTAAGTAAAAGTAAAGAGGTTTGTCCTAAGATAATTCTCTTATCAATATTTGGGCAATGAAAGACTTAAATTTCAAATTTAACAGCAGCAAGATTAAAGGTAGCAAGGAACTGGAAAGTTAAACAAGATTTTCAGTTAGATGATTGTTATAAATAAGTTTGGAATATAGCTAATAATGATAAATTAGTGTGTAATATTAAATGATGAGATAGATAAGAATGTTCTTATTGGTATTTGGGGAGATTTTAGTGACTTGGTGTTAATGAATGGGAAGGGTTGTGCATCTTCACAAGAATCAATGCAGTTTTGGAAGGGTAATGGGTTCCATAAATGCAGGAAAAACTTGTTATATCTCCAGATGGAGGGGAGCATATTATGTATTACTATATTACTATAGTATTACTATATTGTTTATATGAGTTTGTGTTGTTAAGATTTTCTTTAATTATATTTACATTTTTGATCTTTTAACAATCTGTTATAGCTTTAAACCTAAAAATGACCAAAAAAAGTAGCAGAAGAAAAAAGTAATTTAGCATAAATGTTCTACATGCTTAAAATGTATTCTTAGTTATGATCAGGAAATCCCATGTCCGGTGCCACCAGCAAGAATGTACCTACAGCAGGATGAATTAGAAGAAGATGATGATGATGATGAACGGGGTCCTACACCACCCGTTCGAGGAGCAGCTTCATCTCCAGCAGCAGTGTCCTACAGCCATCAGTCTACTGCCACACTAACACCTTCTCCCCAAGAAGAACTCCAACCTATGTTACAGGATTGCCAGGAAGAAGTAGGCCATTTGCAACATCCACAAGATCGAAGGTCTGTTACCAAAGCATGTACAGAAGAGACTGTTTCACCTTCTATATAGCTAACACATGGATTAGATGATGTGCCAGCTGTAGTCATATGTTGTTAGAGTAATTTTAATACAATGTTTTAAAGAACTTGAAATATGATGCTTCAATTTTTACTGTCTCCATTAGCCTTTTTCAACCTGGTAATCCCCAGATGATCTGGATGGGATGCAGGGTTCATAACAAGTTTCAAATATTCCTGGTGTTACTATTTTTGTTCATGCTTATTTTCAAAACACCATTCTAACTGTATGCCCTTAAGCTTACAAATCATGATAATGTAGTAAAAGAATGCCTGAATGTATAAATGCACTTTTTGGAAAAATAGGGTCTTTTTCTGCATTGTGTTGGTTACCCAGATTCTTCAATAAAGTGATTGGTAGATTGGTGGGATGTAAGATAGCAACTCTATCTAAAACTACAGATCCATAATTCCTGACATTGATTATGTTAGCTGGGGCTGATGAGAGTTAAAGTACAAACCACCTAGAGGCCACTACGTGGTGCAGTAGACAGTATACTCAAAATTTAGATGTATAGTTGACAATCGAATGCATAGGAATCATGTCACCCTGGAGCTTTCAGGAAGTACAGTTTTCCTTCAAAGCTAGGCAGACTCCAAACACTTTGTTTTTCCCCTTCCCCTGAAAATCTGAGGAGAGAAGCACAAGTGGAGGGACGCTGTATGTTTTTCTGTATGTTTGGTCATGTCCTTCAGTGGAAAAAGGCTTTCTGAATATTCCTGTCTTCTCCCATTTATTCATACATTCATTCTTCCTTGCTTTATTTAATGTATTTGTTTGGTTGCTGCTCTTAACTATCTCAGGGTAGTTGACAGAACATATTAGAAATAATAACAAAAAAATGAAAATTAATATCAGAAACATTTAAATGCCACACATCTGCACAACAGCTACTAAAAGAACTTGAGATAGTACAAATATTTTTACCTGTTATCATATAAATATGGGTGGGGCTAGAGATGTAAAATTTCCAAAAAATTCCATTAAAAAAAATCAAAAGATGTTTTTCTCTTTATTTTTCCAGAAAAAAATGGAAATTTTCAGTTAAAAAAACCAAAAGATGTTTTTCTCTTTATTTTTTCCAGAAAAAAATGGAAATTTTCAGTAATTTTACATCTCTGAGTGGGGCACAATCACAGATGTGTCAGTGAGCATGTCCCATATCTATGATGTTACATGGGAAGAGCTTCATACCTAGACAAGAGCATCATAGAAGCACTGTAATATACAGATAAATTCCATCAATGAGATTGAGAGATGCCTTTTCCAAAAACCACTGGCCATCAAAAACATACAGTATAATCAAGTTGAAACAGATAGTTTAGCATGGATGACCTCCCACACATTGCTGGGGAGCTTCTCAGATCAGAACCAACATCACAAATTGGAATCAGAAATGAACAGGTATTGCTACAGTTCTTTTAGCACTAGCCCAGCTAGCAGTCAGAAAACATCGCTCATCACTCAGATATCTTACCAGTAGATCTAAATATATTTTCTACCAACTCATGGTTTAACACAAGAAGGAGGTCTACACACCCACATACATCTGCTACCCACTTCCCCTTATCCAACACTTTTTCTCTTTAGTCAATAGGGAACCTGAACTGCTATTCCATTTTGTACAATGATCAATGATTTTTGCTCATAAAGACATTCAAACCTTGATAAACATGTATGTATGTATGTATGTATGTATGTATGTATGTATGTATGTATGTATGTATGTATGTATGTATGTATGTATAACACTGCATAATTATTTATTTGCACACAGGCGTCAAACTGTGAGCCCTCCACCACCTCCAAGGCCTATTTCTCCCCCACATACCTATGGTTATATTTCGGGGCCTCTTGTATCAGACATGGATACTGATGCACCAGAAGAAGAAGAAGAAGAAGCAGACATAGAAATGGCCAAGATGCAAAACAGAAGGCTTCTTTTGCGTGGCCTTGAGCAAACACCTGCCTCAAGTGTCGGAGATCTGGAGAGTTCTGTGACAGGTTCCATGATCAATGGATGGGGTTCAGCTTCAGAAGATGACAACATTTCATCAGGACGGTCTAGTGTTAGCTCATCCGATGGATCCTTTTTTACAGATGCAGATTTTGCACAAGCTGTTGCAGCAGCAGCTGAATATGCTGGTCTTAAAGTAGCAAGGCGTCAAATGCAGGATGCTGTCGGAGGTGAGAGTTGTTCACAGGCATGGTATATATTTGATCAGAGATTTCCATCAAAGATACATTTTCTTTCCTTTCTTCACTCAACATCATAGATACAATCAGCTAGAAGACAGTTCTAAGTAGACCTTGTTGTCATGTGCCGTCAAGTCACCTGGGTGACCAAAGCTCTCCTACAGCACAATATTCGAAATCAACCAGTTTTCTTCCTGTCAGCTTTCAGATCCATGCATGGTGATCAGGAATACAAGACTGGATGGTCTTGTTCTTGGTCTTCAGTGACATAGCCCTATAGTTGATTATGTTTTCTAATTCCTTAATTGCTCCTGATCCACACAGTCAAAGGTTTTGCTGTAGTCTATAATGCATTGATCTTCTAAAATTCTTCAGTGCACTCTAGTAGCCAGGGGATATTTGCAATATGATATCGAGTATCTCTTCCTTTTCAGAATCCAACTTGAACAATAGGCATTTCTTGGTCTATATAAGATAAAGGTCTCTGTAGCAAGACCTTGTGCATCACTTTTCTTGCATGAGAAATCAGAGCAATGGTCCTATAGTTGGCATCTCCTTTCAGAAGAACTGGAATGTATATTGAATGTAGCAAAACTGTGGGTCATTGTTTTGTTTGTAGTATTTGCTGGCATATTCTTTTTGGGATTTTGTTAGTCAGTCTCTGTGGCATGGAATGGATCTATCGGGTTTTCATCTACTCTTGGTGATTTATTTCTTCCTAGTGCTTTCACTGCAACTTTCACTGCATTTTCTAGAAACTGCAGGTTCTTCACATAGGATTCCTCTTCAACAGAGTCTATCATCTTTTTATCTCTTCTGTACAGGCCCTGAGAATATTGTTTCCAGCTTATCTTCATTTTCTCCTGGTCAGAGATAGTGTGTTTCCTTGTTGGTCATTCAGCATTCCTCATCTAGACTTAAATTTCCCTTTGGTTACTTAGGTTTTCCAGAAGAAATTTCTTGGGTTTTTTTTTCCTTTTTATTGTGTTCTATTTCTTTGTGCTGGTTGTAGTAGTGATTCTCTTTGTCTCTACATGATATTCACTGAAAATCTGCACCCAGGGTTCTGCCTCTATTTCTGTCCTCTTTTATTTTTGCTTCTCACCTGTCCTTTACAACTTTTAAGTATCATCCATCTAGGTTTTACTTTTCTTTTTACTACATGAATTATCTTTTTTAAAAAAATCTTCCTCAATAATATCTCTGGTTTAAAGTCAAGCTTTTCTGGTTCAAAGACAATTGAGTTTAATAATGTTTCTTACGTAGACTTCATTGGGAATATTGTTTAAGTTATATGTTGGCACTCTGATTTTTTTAGTGTTTTTCTTCAGCTTTATTCTAATATTTGATATTAACAATACATGATGGGCATTTACTGCATTTCATTCGTTCAGTTCACTTCATTGGATCAGGCCCACCGATGTTCCATGGGTGTCCTGGATTCTGTGCCCCACTTCCTCCCATGGGCACCCAGTCAAACAGGCAGGAGGGACAGGGAAGCCCAAGTCACTGCTTCTGAGGGTGCACCTGCAGGAGGAGATGGGGCATAGAATCCAAGGTGTCTGCATAATACCTGTGGACCCGATCCAACAAACCATGGTGTCAATCTTTAATGATCACTACCAGATCTGCTCCTGATCTTATTTTGGCAGAGAGAACCCAGCTTCTCCATTTCCTGCTTCCAGTTACATAGTCTATTTGATTTCTATATTGTTCATTTGGTGATGTCCATGTGTACAGCCATCTGTTTGGTGCATCTATTTGCAATAAACAGATTTGTGCTTCACACAACTTTATAGTTTACTGCAAAATGCTTGACTGTGCAGATCAAAAAATCTTTAACTGTGAAACCTCTTCAGTGTAAATTTTTTAACATCCAGATTGTCTGATTCACGGAACTATATGAGTAATTCGCCTGTTTCTGAAATGGCATATGTCATTTTCACGGCCCCTTAAAGGGTCGCTGGGCATTTGGCCAGAGAGTTCGGCCTGCACTTATCTACCACCTTTGCACTGGATCGAGTCCTTAGACCTCAGCAGTGCGTAGCATAAACCCTTTGAACAAGTCTGACCTAAAGAGAACGCTTTACACTTGCTTAGTACTATGCAAGCACAGGCACATGGGAGTTCTTTAGAACTCACAACAGCTCAGTTAGGTAGGACTCTTAAATGATAGCTAGTTTCTGGCCCTCTCCACCTCCTGGATTTAGCCACACCCTGCTGTTCAAGAGACCAGTCCTCAGTAAGGATTTTTAATACTAATTTTTTATTAGAAAAATAGATTCATTAGAAATCAGTTTATAAGCTTTAGCATCAAGAACATATTCAAAGATCATTGCAATTAAATAAAATAACTCCCATTTAAAATAATAAACTCTAAAAGCTAATCTAGGGCAGGCTATAGTGGGCTATGGTGGGCTAGCCCCCACCTCCTTCTTTCTCCTTACTTACATCCTCTCACCTTCATGGAATAACACAAAAACATCATCAGTCTCCATCCATCATCAGTAAGCAGTAAGCTAAGCTACATTCACATAACCCATTGTCCATTTTCTACTTTCCTCCCTTCTCTGTGGTCTTTTCTGGCTGTTAACCAATTAACTTTTTGAGGTTGTACCACCTCTCTCCTCCTTTAATTCCATGAGAGTGCAGGTGATGTTTATGTCTTCTGTAACAAGCTTGGAAAGTTGAGTCTGTCACGGGCCCCTCGATCTGACCTTCATGTTATCAGAATGTTGGCTATAACAGTCTTTAGAAAAACCCTCATGGCGCTTAGAAAAACACATTTCAAAGTCTCTCAAATCATCTTCACACAGAACCTGACTCCATTTTACATTTCTGACTACATATCCCATCATCACAACATGCTTTTGACTATATATCCCATCATCATGACAGCATGCAAGTGGCAAAAGATTAACCACTGTAACCTGTGTCCATTGCACTTAAAGCTGGCATAACTAACCATTAATATTGTGGGAAGTTATGTGCAATCACAAGATTATGGAGAGGTAAGCCTCATCTCTCTTGGGTCTTTAACTGTGGTTCACTTCCAACTGCAAGGATGATTATTTGAATATGCACATGCATATATGATCTGCCCAACACAAACAACAAGGCAAATTGAGGGAAACTTTGTTTAGATAACATTGGACTTCCTTTTTTTTCTAGTAAAACTGGCCACACTGTAAGAGCCAGATTCACTGTCAGTTTCAATATTGCTACTTTTCTTCAAATCTCACTTACCCATCTTTCTATTCTTGTTCCAAATACACACTTTAGCCTTTTACATTGTAAGATGTGTGCCATATTCTATATATACTTTGTCTGAAATGTCACATAAACCTCACAAATATGTGAGGATGAGGTACCTTTCTTCTTGCAACAAATTTTTAAAAGATTCTACTTTTTGTATTCTGCACTCCTGCTGAATCCAATAAAATTGATTTCTGTCCCTACCCTGCAGATACACGCACCTCACTTTACACAGATTACTGGAATAGAGGAACAACTTGCACAGGCAAAGCTGACAAACTTCAGTCTACACTGAATAAGAACTTGGTGGTGGGTGGGTGTAATGTAAACTTCGCTTTTCCTGTGATATGAGCTTTAATGTGTCTGCAGTCTTCTTGTCTCATTTGACCACCAAATAACTTTGCTGATATCTGTAGTACTGTCCCACCATGTCTCTTCAGAACACAGAAAGTTGCAGATGACTGGACCATCTAAACCATACCTTAATTGGGAACATTTTCATAAGGTTTCAGATGTGTATACAGTGGTGCCTCGCAAGACAAAATTAATCCGTTCCATGGTTAATGCTGTCTAGCGAAAATCTCGTCTTGCAAAGCACATTTTCCCATAGGAATGCATTGAAATTTAATTAACACATTCCTATGGGGGAAAAAAGCTGGCTGCAGCCCCCTCCCCCGCAGCCAGCATCACTTTCAGAGGTCCCCACCAGTCTTCCAATGGTGCTGGGAAGACTGGTAGGGGATCTCTGAAAGTGGCGCTGGCTGCGGGGGGGCGGCCCCCCTGTGGCAAAGCGCCACTTTCAGAAGCCTCCCGGGGCTTGCCCAGCATGTAAAAAGGCAGGGGAAAGCACAATTTTTTAATTTCCCCCTTTTTCCCCTGCCTTTTTCCGTGCTAGGCAAGCCTCTGGAAGCCTCTTAGACCCAGCGCCGATCAGCTGAGATGGGGGAGAGGGGGGGCAGGAGCAGAGATGACCACAAAATGGCTGCCGCCTCCCTGCTGGTTGCCAACTCTCAGCTGTTTGGCGCTCTTTTTCCGGCTGTTCTGGGGCTACAAAGGCACTGTGAGGAGTGGGGCTCAGTCTACTGTATCTGGTAAGTGACTTTTTGCTTTTTTTGTTTCTGACTTTTTTTCTCGTAGGAATGCATTAATTAAATTTCAAAGCATTCCTATGGGAAACGTGCCTCGCAAGATGAAAAATATCACAAGACTTCTTGTGAGGCACCAAAAAAACTCTCAAGACCCTTTCATCTTGCGGGTTTTTTTTGTCCTGCGAGGCATTCATCTTGAGAGGCACCACTATATTTGACAGTCTTGCCTGAAAGTGCCAGAGATTAGCCTTGTAATGTTTTGTAGGCAAAGCACACAAAAGGTTTCATAAAAGAAATAAAAGGTACTAAGCTGTGGTGGCAGCAATATATAAACTAAAATACTGGCAGTTTCTAAGGAGCAGCAATAACATTGTAAAGTCTTGGGGATCGGAGCAAAGGCAGTTTCAGTCGATAGGTTATAATTTCATTGGTTCCCTAGTGACTACTACTGATTTATAAGAGAGTGAGGAATGGGTGGAAAAGCTGCACCAACACAGAAATTATGAGGCACATTTTCCACAGCAGATAGTTCACAGGACCAGGAAGAAGGTTCAGTAAGTCTCATAGCTGGTTTATAAAAATTATCTGCTAGATGAAGGATCTTACAAAACTCATGCAGAGGAAACAGAGGGGAAGAACATGCATACAACAATTCATCAAAGAAAATAGAGGGAAAAGTGTGTGTTATATTGTATTTTAGAAATTTGCCTCTTTCTCTCACGCACGAACTACTCCATTCTCAGGCTTGTAAGCAGAGGGTGAAAGAACTTAATATATCTGAGTCAATGAGACCGGTGGCCAATGTTAGATAGCCTAGGAATGTTTTCTACTTTCAAATTCCTACTGATACACTGTGGGGAGATAATGATGCTAACTGATTTTACACTATTGTTTTAGATCTTTAAAACAAACAGAAGAACCAAGTTTGCCACAGGGGAAGTAAATAACAAGCTAAGCTACTAACTTCTTTCTTTTCAGGCCGTCGACATTATCATGCCTCACACTGTCCTAGACCTACCAGCCCTGTCTCTACCGACAGCAATATGAGTGCTGCTGTTATTCAGAAGGTTCGACCTGCCAAAAAGCAAAAGCACCAGCAAGGACAGCTGCGCAGAGAAGTCTACACAGATGGTAAATATTGTTAGTTGTGCTCTCCCCCAATGTGTAACCAATATTTCTGCAAAGCTTTTACTAAGTGAAAAGTCTGGTATTTCCTCATGGTATGCGCATTCAGTATAATATATTGTAGGCATCACCCATTGTGTTCGGTTTGTCCTGAATTTTCTTGGGACACACATACATAAAAAGTGTGCTTGTTCTTTGTAATACCTTAACCAGCTATTAACTATGACTTTGTTTGAGAGCAGACATTGTAAATGGGTACAAAATGGAAAATAATGCATTCATGAGATTAAAATCTTCATTAAAATAAATCCTCTATAGTCTAATTTTTCCCGTCAGAGAAACAATTTGGCATTCAAATAGCAGGCAGCAAATGGTTGAATTTCCATGCTAACCGATAGTATTGTTCCACACGGTTACTTTGTGCACCAAAAGGCAAAATCTAATCATCTCCTCTCATGCCTTCACACACAATATCGACTCCTGCTGAAAAGGTAATGCTTGTATTCTCTGGGGAGTATAGCAGGATAATGCAAACATTGTGATGTTGTCTAGAGAGAGCCTTTAATGAAAATGCCTCAGGAGGGCCAGCTTTTATTAAACCACCACCTTTCAGTTTCATAAAACAACCAAAGGGGTTTGTTGGAAATGCATGTAAGATATATTCCCAAAGATTCACCCATCTTGTCAAGTTTTCTCAATTCACTAAAAGAGGTAGTGGGCTAGCAGAGGCATCATCCCCCTACCTCCTGGTTTTCAACAACAACAATCTGATTAGGACTTTCATTACCAGTCAGAATTTTTTCAAAGAGGGGCATCATTTGCCATTATCATATGAAAGCCTAATATTATAGATACTTATCCAGGGTTACAAGAAGGGTTTTTCAAGCCACTTCTCCCTGTGATTCCTGCCACTTGACAGAAAAATTTAATACAAAGCGCACAGCATGATGAGCAAAAGTAATTTTGCAATGAGTGGTTGTCCATGCTATTATCTGTACTTTATTCTGAGTATTTTCTCTCTCTAACATCTATCTGATATTAGACTACATTAAATAGTGGCATGACACAATGCACCTGGGCCTCTTGGCTTCTGCCCAGGCTTTCTTTGTCAGCAAAACTGAATTGTCAGAATATTATCTGATTTCAAGAGGTTATTACAGCAGTTTTCTGCATGCTTGTTTATTTTTTGTTTTTGTTTGTTTGCTTATTTTTTGTGTTACGGGAGAATGTATGGTATAAATCCCAAAATTATGCCAGGAAGTCTATATTTATAGAACCACTGAAATGGCCTTCTGCAAGAATTTATAGATGTCTTAACAGGCTTTATTAGTTTCATGTAAGAGGCTCCATGTGAAAAATTGACTAAGCTTGGCATGAAAGCATCTGTACTGGCTGGAATACGAGAAAAGAAACCTTCTCAGGAGCCCTACATAGTTGTTATTTTTCTTTTTCCCCTTTATTAGAAATATAGGACAGTAAGCTGCCTTTCTGGTTCAATTTCCTTGAACTATTTTGCTGTAATTAATATTGTCTAGAATAAGCTATATAGACCAAAGGAGGCATTATCTAGAATCCTATTATAGATGACGACCTCGTAAAACGACGAATCCACATGACGATGAGGTTTTGCGATTGCTATATAGCGATTCACAAAACAATGATTTCAATGGGTGATTTTCGCTGGACGATGTTTTTGTCCGTGCTTCATGGACCATTTTTTCGCAAGATGACGATTTTTACAGCTGATCAGCAGCTTCACAAAATGACTTCCCTATGTTTTCGGGACCCATGCTTCGCAGGACAGCCCTTTTAACAGCTGATCGGCGTTCGCAAAATGGCTTCCCTATGGGCGATCTTCACAGAACAACAATGTATTTTCCCCATTGGAACGCATTAATGGGGAAATGGTTTTCGCATGACAATGATTTCACTAAACAGCGATTTCTATGGAACGGATTATCATCGTCATGCGGGGCACCACTGTAAATAAATTTAATTCACTGCCATTTATAGTGACACTAAGTAAGTTATTGGGGGAGAAGATAATTACTGATTGCTAAGCTGTATTTTATTCTTCACATAGGTAGAGCTAGGTGAGGTTTATCTGAAATTCCTACATTTCTTTGCTTATCAGTGTAGACTGTACTAACCTGGAATTAGTGAAGGCACTAGGCTACTACAGATTGAAAATACCTACAACATAAATGCTTTGCTGAGTCTTGGATGCACCCATTTGTATGGGTTCAAAGGGAGTATGGTTTGCCATATGCCTTTATATATAAAATGAAGTATATCCAGCTAAGATATTCAACCCCTCTATGAACTGGAAATAATACATATATAATGATTTACAATGCTTAGCAAACAGCTTTCCTGGTCTTCATTGGAAAGAAAATTTTAATGAGACAATTTTAAATTGCTCCGACTGAAAGTGCTCTTACATTTGAAGCACTTTGAGTAATTATTTGCATTTTCCTCTTCCCATTTTAAACTGGCTAGCTGCATTGATTTTCTTTCTCCCACCCCCCAATTATTTTTCCCATGGTTCCTATATCTTCTCAGTTAGAGAAGAAATTGCAGCTACTTTTTTAAAAAGAGTATTAAAATATGAAAGATTTTCCCTATAGGACATGCTATAAAATAGCATCCATTAATTGTTTTCCTTTAAGCAGGCAACAATGCAGCAGCATTATGCAGACACATATAAATGAAAGAATTGAGCACAGCTGACCTTTACTAGTTACCTCTGAGTTCCACATATTGGTTTGATGTCACTCTGTGATTTATTTTTTATTTCTCACCATGGAGGCATCCATTTTCTTTTTAATAACTAAGTATGCCAGTTTACAGCAGACAAGGCAGATTGATTCTGGATTTTCTCTGTGATTTGAGCTGTTAAATAAATACTGCAAGGGTGAAATAGTGTTGACCTCTGAGAAGTTTCCTTTTTGATTTGAAGGATTCCTCTCAGCAAGGAATGATGTGTTGTAATGAAAGTTTCTCTACCTTCTCCGCAGGTTGTGATAAAGCCTTCTCTGAAGAACATATTACTTTGTGGTTGTCATTATTGGCGTATACCAAATTGCATTTTAACTGAATGTTTTGATACTGAGTTACTTTTATTTAAAGACTGCCTGCATTCTTTAATTATTGTGTGTATCAGTGTACATTTGCATTCAGTTACAAAAAAGTTGTAATTCCTGAATCAATTATGTGAATATGTGCATGTTTCTTACATATCTCCTGGTGCTTTGGGGGGACTCTGTTATCTGGGACAAATTACAGCACATTCAAATTTCTGAGGCAGCTAAGCATTTGATAGAAATACAAATACAGTCGTGCCCCGCATTACAATGAAACCGCATTACGACTATGTTTTTGCAATCGCAAAACGATGGTCTGAATAGGCTTTTTTCGCTTTGCGATGATTGTTTCCCTGCTTCGAGAACCGATTCTTCGCAAAATGACGATTTTTCCTACAGCTGATCGGCGGTTTCAAAATGGCCACCGGGTAAATAAAATGGCTTCCCGCTGTTTTCTGGGATGGATTCCTTGCAAGACAGCCACCAAAATGGCCTCCCTGTGGAGGATCTTTGCTGGACGGTGAGTTTTTAGCCCATTGGAACGCATTAAACGGGTTTTAATGTGTTTCAATGGGTTTTTTATTTTCGCATTACAACGTTTTCATTCTATAGCGATTTCGCTGGAACGCATTAACGTCGTAATGTGAGGCACCACTGTAATATATTTCTTGAAAGGGAGTTTTGAACAAAACAGTAATTACATTAAGCAGTAACATATGAATAGAAAGGTTAGGAATGTAAGACCTATTCTGGAGGCACTCTTAAATCCTATTTAGTCCAGTATTATGTTCACTCAGTTGCTTCTAGGAATCCAACCAGGAGGACGTGAGTGCAACTGCACCCTCCAGTTTGCATTCTTCACTAACTGGTATACAGGGGCACAATCCCTCTTATAAGGGAGGTGATATGTCTGTAACCTGCATAAATTTGTTTAATCCCTTTTTGACGCCACTTATGTTGGAAGCCATTACTACATCTTGTTGTGAAGAATTTTGCAGTTATGTGCTGTGTAAAGAAATGTTTCCTATTATCCATTGTGAATTTCCCACCATTTAGCTTCAGCAGATGAACCCAAGTTCTAGAAATGAGAGTGATGTCTAGTATTTCAAGGCTGCAATTAAAGGCAGCCTTAAGGGTGTTTGCTTTCACTGAAATCTATAGAACTAATAGCTGCTTATTACAGTAATAATAAACTTATTTTAAAATCCAGGGCCCACATATAACCCCAATATGTAAGTTAATTCTAATAGGGAAACAGCACATGGAAAATTTTCTAGGTGGACTACTTGTCATGTAGATGCAATTGATCTTAGCCAAAAGGCCGAGAAGCGATAACGTAACAAATGTGTAGATATAGTTAATTAATAATCTGTTATTTTGTACATGCAACTGTTTCGTATATGCTAATAGCCTTTAGAATTAAATTTAGAACATGGTAGTAAAATCAAAAGAATAAAAATAAAGGCGCAGATACATGTCTTTTCATGTACATAAACTATATGAAAGTTGCGCCTAGATGGTGTTACAATGATGGCAAAAACAACAACAACAACTGGCTGCAGCACTCATACACATATAACATCATACAAGATCAGGGTGATTCTGTATCCGTGTTCTGCAGGAAGAGAACAAAGGGAACAAGAAATGTGTGTTAGGAGGAAAACTGGCACTACATTATGTTTCAGCAAAAAGCCAAACTAATTTTCTTTCATCAGTCATGTAATAAACTTCTGTTTTATATGTACAATAATTTGAAGGGCTGTTATTCTGCAAGCAGCAAGGAAGTACAGTGATTGCTATTTTGGAAAACTTGATGCAACTAATTATTTTATTGGTCCATATTATATGTCTTGATACATATACTATATGGCCAATGATATCTGTGCTCTTTTAATTTAATTATTACAGCTCTGCCTACTGTTTCCCCTTTGCTGGCTGAGATGAAATACGTAGTAGACCCATTAACTAGAACGCACAGCTGCTCTAAGATTTGGAATGCATTCTCATTTCCTTTCTGGGATACATTCATTACAAATTGCAGGAGCAGGGATCTTAACATTTAATTCTTCCTCTTTGTGCAATAGATGCAATTGGGATAAAATGCATTACAAGCACATGGCTATTATTTACACCTCTCACAGACCCATTTTCCTCAGCGTGCTCTCTTGAGGTATACCTGTCATCAGGTTCCACTGCTCTTGATGCAAAGCAGCTTTATATTTTTCTTTGCCTAATGAACTTTTGAACATTTTTTTTACTTTTACAATATCCACGCATACCGTTGTGCCTGAACTACAGCTTTTCTTAACATTTAAAAATATTAATTGTTAATGAAGGAACAGAGATATAGGACGAGAAATACTTCTCTCTCTGTGTGTAATGTATGTAATATTCTTTAAGTTATGTAAAAAAGGGGCCATTAATAAGCGCAATGCACTTTTAATATTCCACCTTTAATTTTTGAACCATAATCGGCATCATCTTAATCTATTACAAATGTATATTATCAGCAATAGAAGCAGCAGGAGTAATATTTTTAAAATATGCAACCCTGACTTTTCAAGAGGACAAATATTTCAATCAAGATTTTCATGGAAGAAAGTTCTGGTTTATCCCATATCTCCTAGTTTGAAATCACTGATTATTAATATGATTTATAAAATAATGTGAGACACATATAGACAGTATATGATTCAACTCTAAAATATTTTCAGGTATAGAGCTTGGTGGAGCAGTAGTTAAACCACTGTACTGCAGCCAAAACTGTGCTCACAACCTGGGGTTCAATCCCAGGTAGCAGCTCAAGGTTGACTCAGCCTTCTATCCTTCTGAGGTCGGTAAAATGAGTACCCAGCTTCCTGGGGAGGCAATGTGTAGCCTGCATAATTACCATGTAAACTGCCCAGAGAGTGCTTGAAGCACTATGGGGCGGTATATAAGCAGCACGCTTTGCTTTGCTTTGGAGGGGAATAACTTAAGAGTGAGTATACAGTGGAGGTTCTTTTCCCTTCATTTGAAAAGAGGAGGGAAGAAGGTTTAAAATGATGGACTGGTACTTACATTTCTTTCTCCTTTCTTTCTTTCTTTCCCTTTCCTTTTCTTTTTTTCTTTCTCTTTTTGTTAACTTCCAGAAACAATAAAAATATATATCTTTTTTTATCTGAATATTCCACACTTAAATATTTCCTACTTCTGCTTCAAGGAATCTACAGTTCCTGTGTGATCCTTTTCATTGTCAGGAACCCATGGGGGCTGTGGGACGGGCGGGCAGAGATCTGTAAGTGGCCCAGCTTCCCCCTCCATGACACGGAGTCAGGTTGCAGAAAAGCAAACAGGTTTATTCAAACTTCAAAGTCAACAAGGGAAGCCAACATAGATATATGCCCAAGAAGAATGTGAAGAGTTCCCCCCTTCCTCAGGCTGAGCCAGGAGTCAGGGTAGTGGACTCGGCGGGGGGAGATAAAATCCTTCTCCTCCAGGACGTCGCGGACACTCCATAACAGGGTGAGGCAAGGTATGCCACTACATGGGAATGGACTGTGGCAGTCAACTGGTGATTGGCCTCATTTCGCAACAATAGGAGTGACACTTATGCTGCTGGGCCCTTTGTACTTGCTCTGCTACCTCCAGTGGGACTATGAGGTCTACTCACTTGCCAGTCCAGGGATCCTTGTGATGTATGACCTTCCAGTCCTCAGAGCTATGGTTTTCCTTAGTTCCTGCACCTCTGCCTTGCAAGCCTCCCAGTCCATGAAAAAGCCCAGAAGTCCACCTCTTCCTCCATTTCCACCTCTCCTTTATATCCCTTTGCCCAGGGTTCCATATTTCCTTGTCACCCCAGCTCCCCAGAAGAACTGCATGTCTGGAAATCCACCGACCTGGGTGCTGATATGGAAAGCCCACTCAGGTTGGAACAGTCTTGGGGGTGGGGTCTTGAAAAGATCTCTTTTTTAATGTGGTGTCTGTCTGGCTTTATTTGTACTAGTGTTGCAAAATTTAAAATTATGGGTGTATATGAAATATAGGTAAAATTAAAAACAAATTAAAATGCTAAAATACTTAGACTTACTGTATTTTCTGTGTATAAAATGACACTTTTTCCTAAAAAGAGAGAAAAATGAAGGTCATTTTATACACAGAAGGCAACAGCAGGAGGCAGAGACTGAGGCAAAGAAGCACCCAGACTTGGTTGCTTCTCACTGCTGCCCATTGACTGCTGCCGCCACCGCCCTCTCACTCCCCCATTGATCGTCTCCTTGCCATTGGCGGCAGCGGCAGCAGTCAACAGGTGACAGCAAGAGGCGGCCGAGTGTGGCTGCCCACTGACTGCTGCTGTTGCCGCCCAATCCCCCCTCCAGCGATCATCTCCTTGAGATTGGGCAGTGGCGGGAGTCAATGGGCAGCCACGCGAGAGGCGGCTGGCCTGGCTGCTTCTTTGCCTCAGTCTGCACCTCCTGCTGCTGCTGCCTCCACCGCTGGTTCCCGGCTCAGTGATCGTGCAGCCCTTTGATCCCTACTTTTGCCTTCCTTTTGCTAAGCCCTGCAGGGATCAAATTTTCAAATTTGGGGTTAAAAAGGGGAGGGTCATCTTATACATTGGGTCATCTTATAAATGGAAAAATATGGTATCTTTTACCAGATATGGGCTACTTCAGTAGCGTTATCTTTAGATCTTCTTTTATACATGTGGTGAGGTATAAACTGAATGCACATGGGCCGCATTGGTTGAATCTCTACATAGTCACGTAAAATGTGTCTAGTATCCAAACAGCCCCATATTACTTGATTATTCTTTGATCTTCTTACTTTGCTTTGAAGTCTATTAAATGACTTCCAGATAGTCAAGTTAGAGTCTTGCCCTGGTGGGAGACACACTTCACGTTCATCCATTCGGCAACATCTGCTGTTTTTGTTCTCCAAAGGGTTGACATGTCCTCTTCTGGTTTAATGTTTAGAGTTTGAGCTGTGCACAGAAAACTTTTTCTCTATTTTTACCATCATCTAAGGGGTTGGCGTCCATAAAGGGGATCACCTTGGTGCTGTATTACCTTATTTTGATCATTATTGGCTAGGAGCTCCCAACATACTTTTGGAGGGGCAATACCAGCCAAATAATAGACTTTTTCAATGGGAGTAGGTTTCAGGCAACCAGTAGTAATCCTGCATGATTCATTAAGAGCTACAACCACTTGTTTGACATGTGCTGATTTATACCACAAGACACTAGCATATGCTGCTGCAGAGTAGCACACTGTTGTTCTTGTTGTTTGTGGGTTTCCACCCCAGTCAGACCTAGTCAGTTTCCTAAGTATGTTATATCTGGCAGCAACTCACTTTGATGTTTAGACAATGTTTTCTGTAGGTCAGGGTTCGATTTAGAGTGATGCACAAATACTTTGGGGTACAGTATTAAAGTGATGCACAAATACTTTGGGGTACAGTAGTATTCTAAAATCTTCCCAGTTAACTTGGAGCTTCCTCTCTGCTTCTCCATTCTTTAAGTGGAAGGCACAGACCTATGGTTTGAAGGGTTTGGTTTCAGCAAGTTGTTTTCATAATATAACGAAAGATCTTCTAATGCAGAGGTTACCTGCTGCTCAGTGACTTCAAAGTTTTCCCCCCAAGACTGTTAAAGCAAGTTTATCAGCATAGATGAAACTCCTGAAGATTGGCAATGTTAGATAGTACTTTTTGGCTATATTCACTTCGGAAGAGGGAAACTAAAAGGCACTGCTCCTGAAGACAGAAGGGTATTTAAACAAAAATGCTGGTGGAATCTTTCTCAGAAGTTTTTAATGCAAACAAAGAAAACATGTCTGAAAAAACTTTGCTTCCAAAACCTACAGAAACACTAGAAAACGTGAAGTTAGAGGTCCTACTCTATATCCTTCCACCACAAGAGGGCAGGTTGGTAGAAACAATAGGACTTTCTGTTTGGCAGCAATATACAACCAGTAGGACTCTCCTTCAGGAAGTTAGGTGGCACATCTGTTCCATTTTAAGCATTTTTCTTTGTTCCAGATGAATTTTTAGGATTTTTATTTTGTCTTGCCTTCAGCTCTGGTGCTTGACATTTTAAGATTTTTAAATGTATTTTTAAAGCTTTTACATACTTGTTAAGTTTTGATTATAAGTTGCATTGTAGAACCTTTGTGGACCAAACACTGTGTGTGTGCACGTGTGGGGACCCAAGGCATCTCTCAAGAATTAAAACTGTACAATAACTTTAAAATACTTTACCAAACTATATTAAAAACAATTAAACATTCAACAAAATTAAAAGCCATTTTAAAAGCATTTTTTAAAAAACATTTTAAAGTATTTACATTTGATAAATAGAGCATTCCCCAGATTGTTACTTATTGCTTAAAAGCCTGCCTGAAAAGGAAGGTCCTTTCCTGATGACAGAAGGAAAAGAGAGAGGGGACCAACCTGGCTTCTTGGGGCACTGCATTCCAAAGTCTGGGAGCAGCCACCAAGAAGGCCCTCTCTCATGTCCCAATCAAACAAGCTTGAAAAGGTTGTGGGACCAAGAGAAAGTCTTCCCAAGAACATCTTAAAAACCAAGTAGGATCTTATGGGGTCTGAAATACATATATACACACATTTCAGTCCCCATTAGATCCTACTTGGTTTTTAAGATCTTCTTCTCTATATATAAAACAATGACAATGAAGAAGTTGCCAAGTTATATTTTTTTCTCTTCTGTCTCTTTATAGATCTACCGCCGCCTCCAGTGCCCCCTCCTGCTATAAAATCTCCCACCGCCCAGTCCAAATCACAACTGGAAGTTCGGCCTCTCATGTTGCCAAAGCTTTCTTCTATGGAACCAAGAACAGAAAGAGCAGCGGAGAGAAAAGGAACAGGCTATAAGAGGAAAGAAGGAGCAGAAGGCCGCCAGCATTCTGATACGCGGACAGGTTCAGGAGAGCGCCGAGAATCACAGGAACAGCAAAGTGACAGCAAACTGCGAGGAAACAAAGTAGCAAGGCGAGACGGCACACCAGCAAAAACACATCTTCTCCAAGGTGACTTGATATGCTGAATGTGTTAATTAAAGCTTTTCTTCTATAAAAGTGTCACAGCACAGTCACTAACCCCCATTTCCCACTGACTTAAAAGCTAGGCAAGCTGCCTCTGCTTATCCCAGACATGAATCTGCCCCCCCCAATGTAATTATATTGTGATACAAAACAAAAACAAAGCACTGAACTCTTAACCAGACCCCGTTCTTAGGATCTAAGGGTACAATGGGCAAAAGACATGTGAATATTAAACTACTTCAGAATGGGAAAAACCACAGGCAACCCCCCCCAAAAAAAAAACTTTTAAAGATTTATATCTTCTATACCTGCATATATGTCTGGATAGCTCAGTGACTTAGGTATTTGGCTAGTGAGCCAGAGGTTGGAAGTTCACTTGCACATTATGCCTCCTGCGAATAGAGCCAGCCTGTATACCCTTGGGAAAGCTGCACAGTTCCAGGGCATCCTCAGAAGAAGGGAATTATAAACCACTTCTGAGTATTTCCTGAAAAGGGTCACCATAAATCAGAATTGACCTGAGAGCAGATGATGATTATTGTACCTGCATACAGTGTTGTATATGTCTGTTTCATAAGTTGCAACAACATGTAAAGAAACACATTCTTTACTTCATAGTGTTTTACTTTGTGTTTTGTGCTAGTAAAAGCATGCTGCAAAGCAAAGTGTGCTGCTTATATACCGCCCCATAGTGCTTCAAGCAGTCTCTGGACAGTTTACAAGTTAATTATGCAGGCTACACATTGCCCCCCAGCAAGCTGGGTATTCATTTTACCGACCTGGGAAGGATAGAAGGCTGAGTCAGCCTTGAGCTGGCTACCTGGGATTGAACCCCAGGTCATGAGCACAGTTTTGGCTGCAGTACAGCGGTTTAACCACTGCGCCACGAGGCTCTTTTAAAAGCAAAGAATGCATCAAAGTCCATCCAATGTTGTCTAAAAGCTAGACAACCATAATAACAAAAGTATGACTAAGTGGCCTTTGGAACCATAGGATACAAATTTCAACCTAGAATGTTTTACGAAAACCAGATTTATCACACCAGATCACCCCATTTTAATAGGTAACAAGAGGCTCAATAGGTGAAAATATATAAAGGCAGAGGCATCCATAATCTATAATCCAAGAAGAAATATAGCCATTGATAGTCCCTAGAGGAGATGCACTCATACAAAACCAAAATTGGAATTGAGCAGTAAATTTGTTAAATTGGCACAAAAGTGCAGTGTTATTATAAATAGCAATAGATCACTATAAACAGAGGTCTTCAGTTGTAGCTTTCGGATTTCTGGATCAAAAATGCAGAGCAAGAGACAACATTTGCTGATGAAATTCGAAACACATGGCCTGATGGCAACACAATAGCCCTCAAGTTCTAAACGTTTAGATATATTTTAATTTGGTTAGAGTGGTAAATGTAAAAGTGCAAGTGTGCATTGCAATAGCAAAAGTGCAAGCTTTCATTGTAACAGTCCATATAGTCATGCATCCCCATACATTTAGTCCAGAAGTGCATGCTGCTGGATTGGTGGATATAAATAATTGAGAAGCAGGTATTTTCTAAAGTTAAAGGCTCTTGATGCCTTTGCATTACAACAGACATAGCTTGTAATTATTATTGATTGAGAGTGCAGCAATGATCTTGTGCTGGCAGAGCAAATAAGTATTCTATCAGATGTATTCGTGAAGGCTTTCACAGCCGGGATCTAATGGTTGTTGTGGGTTTTTCGGGCTTCTTGGCCGTGTTCTGAAGGTGGTTTTTCCTAACGTTTCGCCAGTCTCTGTGGCCGGCATCTTCAGAAGATGCCGGCCACAGAGACTGGTGATACGTCAGGAGGAGCATCAACAAAAATTATATTTTTTAAACTGGGTTTCAGATCAGCACCAGATTTGATGCACTTGTACATAACTATAGAACTTGTTGAAAAATAGCTCTGAAAGTTGCTTTGTGTTTGGGTGAGAATTGGACGACTGATGAAGTTGTAAGAGACAGTCTGCTGTGACTCTGTGCCAAAGTTGGGGCAGTTTGGGAATAGGGTTTTTGAGTTGTTGGTTTTTTTATTAGTAAAACTGCCCTCCCTTTCAGAGCATCTTCAAATTTAAAATGGCTCATATAAATTGAAAAGACCAATCTTGCTTATCTTTAAAGTGAATGGGAGGGGGCTCAGATCCTCTTTATTTAGAAAGAATGCAGGCTGCAGGGGATGAATTATTGATCCTTTAAAAAGGCCTTTCAAAAAGGAAAACAAACAGCCACTTCGTTAGAAGAGAAGATTGAGCCTGTGTAGTACAAACGTGAGCAGAAGCTTCCCAAAATGAAACACTGTATACATTCATAGGCAGAGAGGGGAGTATTTCAGTAAACATTCTCTTTGGGTGTGTGAGACCAGTCTCCTCACATTTGTTTTCAAAGACGGAATCAGCTCAATCTGGAGCAATATGAATCAGGACCCAGTTAGGTAACTCTTAGCTAACTTTTTAATTCCTTCCTGACCAAACAGGATTGTCAGAATTATGCTTTCAAGGGGATGCTGTGTCTGATTGTAAAAACTGAGACAGCAAAAGAATATTGAAAAATTTAAAAAATACTAAAAATATTTCTAAAAATATATTTTAAAAGAATACAGAACAAATATTCAGAAGTTCGTTTGTTTCAGATGTGAAATTACTAATTTTTTACTTTGTGTCTCAGGATGGTCTTACCTGATGTTAGCAGAGCTTTGGTACCTATATCCTGTTATAATCCCTTGTCATAGTCTCCATTCCACCCACCTTATTACTATAGAACTGCTTGGTAATTAAGAAAAAATACTCCAAATATATTATGTGCCATCAAATCACTTCTGAAGTGTGGTGATTATATGAGTTAATGATGTCCCAAATGTCCTATCATTAACGGCTCTGTTCAGATCTTGCAAACCAAGAACAACTCATGTTACAATGTTCTATCTCTCTACTGCCCCCTTCCTAGCAAACTTTTATTTTTCAATAAGTTCTGCTCAGGTCTTACAAACTGACAGCTCTGGATTCTTTTGTTCAGTTAACTCATCTCATTAAGTACTCGTCTTTTCCTACTGCACCACCACCGCCACTTTTCCCTGAAAAATTGTCTCTTCTGCACAGTTCTTGTTCTCATTGTATGTGCAAGGTAGAGAAGCCTCAATTGACTCATTTTGCTCTGGTAAGAGTTCAGACTTGATTGAGGATCCACTTATTTGCCTTTCTGGTGGGCTGTGCTATCTATAAAAATTACCACGAACACCATATTTGAATGAGTAGATTTTCCCCTATCTTTCTTCACTCTCTGTCTTTTACATATTATGGATAATTTCAACCTTGGTTACAAGTGGCAATCTTTGCTAACTCCCAACCACACCCCCTTTTTAATTTTTAACAGCCCTGCCAATTGCTTTGTGTTTAGGTGAGAAGCAGTAAACTGGTTAAAAAAAGGAGTCGGGTTCTGGAATTTCCCGTGCTTGATGTTTCTTTACGAATAGTAGTGAACTCAAAAGGGCATCCTGTAGACCAGGAGACCCCAACCTCCGGTTTGCAGCCTGGTACCAGGCCGTGGCAGGACCAGGCTGTGGAGAAAGATCTCTCACCCTCCCCGCACACTCCCCCATGCATGCATGGCACCATACATGACCCCCACATGCACAAACATATGTCCCGCCCACACATGCACAGACACACACGCACACACACACACAGATGCATGGACAGATGCTCCACCCATGCACACAGGAACGCACACACACCTTGCCCCACCCACCCACATGGACATCCCGCACACGCACACTAAACCAGTCTGCAGTTTGAAAAAGTTTGGGGACCACTGCTGTAGAAGATCTTGACTCATGACAATATCGTATTGTTTCCTGGCATTTGAATCATGAGTACAGATACATTCATAAGCCAAATGTTTCTTGAATAATTGATGCTGATATAGAATTGGGGGGGGGGAATCCAGTTGTCCCCCAGCTACTTTGGGAAGAGCATCTAAACTCAGCTGGAACAGGGGAGCTTGGGGGAGCATAGCATAGGATGTCATTAGTTCCTTGTTGCTCAGAAGGTCCCAGAGCTTTAAATCTGAGAGCCCTGGTTTCACTGCATGACTGTTGATAAATATTTAAAATATGCTACACTGGAGCACATCCTCTCCACACAAGATGTAAGGCTGGGAAATATGCCATCCAAAGCCCTACAGAACTACTGCCATTGGTACTCTAGACAGTTCTGAGCTACATGAGGCAGCAGTCTTAACAAGGAAATACAAGCTTATCTACAAATTTCAGATGCATGAACACAAATCACTAACATGCACTATGGACATAGGAATGTACAGCTTTGGGGCACAACATACATTTAAGTATACAAATGTCTGTCTTATAATATGCAATTGATTTTCTAAATCCACCAGTCTTGACAATCTATGCACATCATCTCTCTAGTGTCTGAAACAAGCAGTTATGGTTTTCTTCTGTACATACTCAGTGATCAGAGGAGAATACAATCATTGCCACTGGTTATTCTTTTTCTTCCAATTATCCATTTAGCATTAATATGAAAGAAGACATTTCTGGAGGAGAGCAGACAAACAGATGTAGAATATATCACAGGAAGGATGGGCAATGTTGAGTGTGGAGAGTTGTGCTGGTGGCATGTGGGAAGTATGGGGCTATAGTACGCAATCCTTTTTTCGCTCATATAGAAATACAGACCCCAAGTTCATCTTCCCCTCCCCAAACACAGGGCCTCACATTGACACGTGCACACATCTCTATCGATGAGCAACCAGGCTCTGTGTGTACTGTATTTTAGTTGCATTTGGTTCTTTAAAACGTCCTTGTAGGATTTCATTCTGAATACAATTCCAAATGTACACTATAGCCCCTAAACCCCTTTACAGCATTGGGGGTTGAATAATTTTAAACACAACTGTATGTGTGTGTAATTCTACCCTTTCCGCAGCAATCCTGTTCTAGACCACTGTTTTCCAGCCACTATTTGCAGTAGATATACAGAGATCCTGGGGTGTATTAGAATTGGGGGTGTGGGTTGACATTCAATTATCTCCTTCTTCCTAATCTTTGCTGCATCCTGATCAAGATCACTGTTTCCCCAGTAATGTGATAATGTGTTCCATGTTGGGCATCTTATGGATTATATACTGGGCAGTGGAAAGAAAGGTCCAGAGTTTCACAAGCTGCATTTTTATTTATTATCACAGTTAAGGTCATTTTCCTATCAGCCAGACTGGAAGGCTTGCCATGGTGTATTTATCAATATGAATGACACCTATAAGAAGATAAAAGAAAAGAAAACAGAATCTCATTGTTAAAATCTACTTGAGATTGATTCTTAATCCAGACATACTGCACTACTAATGAGACTACCAGACTTCATGAAATTTCAGAATCATTGTTTGTTTGTTTGTTTGTTTGTTTATTTATTTATTTATTTATTTCCACTTCTATACTGCCCCATTAGTGTAATCACTCTTGGAATGGTTTACAACATACAAAAAAAATCATACAATAAAAAACCCTGTATAATAAATACAATAAGAATACAATAAAGTACAATAAACCCTGCCACTAGCTAAAACATTGAACCCACCTTTAAATAGAAATACATAAATTAAAAGCCATTTGAGCATCTAAGGTTAGTATTCACCACTAACAGAAAGCAGCTTTATATAATTTTGTCTTAATTAGCTTGCTAAAACCTAAAGGAGATAGCACCTAGTAAACCACTATAGGAAACATATTCCAGAGGGAAGTGACCATAACTGAAAAAAACTCAGTTCCAAATGTTGGGGGTTTTTTTGTCTCCTGGGAGGTTACAATTCTTAACATCATGGACTGCAAGTAGCAGGTGGGTTGGATATGGTATTGGGATCCTAAACTGTTAAGAGCTTTATACATTATAACCAATACCAAGAGCTTTATATATTATAACCAACACCTTAAATTGAGCATGTAAACTAACATGGAGCCAGTACAAGCATGCCTGTACCACCACATTTTGGACCTGCTGAAGTTTCCACACTGACTTCAAGGGCAGCCCTATGTTGAGTATTACATAGTCAATTTTAGAGATCACCAACATACGAACCACTGTTAGGCATTTCTTATCCAGGTAGGAGCACAGCAGGGTAATCAACTGAAGTTGATAAAAGGCATTCTTGGCCACAGCAGAGATTTGCACTTCCATAAAAAGTGCTGGATCCAAGAGTACCCACAAGCTGTGAACCTGATCCTTCCGGGGAAGTGTCACCATATCTAACCTTTCCACTGATCCACCCAACGGTAGGATCTTCATCTTATCTGGATTTAGTTTCTGTTTATGCCATCATCTAGTCCATTATCAATGCAAATTAGCACTCAAGGACCCATGCAGTATCACTTGCAAATGGGGAAAGATTAGTTGTCATCAATATGTGTCATCAACAAATCTCCATATGACTTCTCCCAGCAACTTCATATAGATAAGCATTGAGGAAATGGCTGATCCCAACAGGGCCTCATAATGGAGGTCCCAAGGTTTTGACAGTGTTTCCCTACTCTATACTTCCTACTCTATACTATCTGGGATTGGCCCTCAAGGAAGCCTGGATCCACTGAAAAATAGAGCACTGAGGTACCAGTGGGTGCAGAAAGATCTAGGAATACCAGCAGGGTTATACTCCCCACATCTGCCTCCCTCAGGAGATTGTCTGCAGGGCAATCACTGCTGTTTCAGTTCCATGATGTGGCCTCTGATTGAAATGGATCTGAACTATCTGTTTGCCCCAAGAACCCCCTGCAGCTGCTCAGCCACCACCCTCTCAATCAACTTGCCAAGGAGTGGAGTAATGGCAACAAGTCTATAGTTGTTAAGATCATCCATTGCTAAAGTAGGTTTCTTAGGTATTGGCCTTATAATGATTTCCTTTAAATAGGAAGATAAATGATCCTCCTGTAGGCATGCATTAATGATAGAAGTAGCCCATTTCATAGTTGTTTCCTTTTCTGATCTTAAGAGCCATGATGGGCAAGGATCTAAAGAGGAGGTGGTGGCTTTGCGGCATGCAAATATCTTGAACACATTCTCAAGCCAAACTAGCTGAAAAGGATCCAATTTAACCTGACTGTAAAGTGCACTGGACATCTCCATCAGATCTACTAGCATCAACAAGGAGTCAAGTTCCCAGTGGATACCAAGGACTACCAACGCTGTGCTATACAGTAGTTGCAGTATGTTTGCTACTGAAGATTAATTGTTCTTCTCAATAACTCTAGTTTATATTTGCCATTTTTGTAAGCACATTTGCTATGCTTCAGGCTATGGTCATATCATTAGAGAAATACGAGTGTAGGTCTAGAAGAAGGAACACATTTATATCAAGCCCTTCTTTACAGAAATATTAACATAACATGTAATTCTCTTCATAGAGGATATTCTGCCATATTGTAGACCTACATTTCCAACATCAAATAACACTAGAGACCCCAGTTCCTCAAGCTCTATGTCATCCAGAGGATCAGGAAGTAGACAAAGGACCGAACAACCAAACCTAGGTCGAAGGAATATTGCAGAAATGCAGGTGTTTGGAACATGTGAGCAAGGAGAGGATGAAGAAGAATTACAGGTAATGCGAGTTTCCGTCATCATTAGAGAGCTTTAAGGACGATGTGAAAATACAAATGTTTGTCTCCCAAAGCTAATTTTCCTTTACCCTTTAATTGGTTAGGCTACAAAGATATAGACTCGATAAACATAATTTCAGTTGTACTACCATTTTATATTTCATCCACAAATCAATAATGGATGAACTGCGCATAATTTTATACTTCTTTACATTTCTTTACAATTCTTTGCTACTAGCTGTATTTTGTATAAAATATGAAAGACAAGAAATAAGTAGTCATAATGCTGACTGCAGTTTATATTAACTGTGTAGGCATAATGTGCAAGAGGTCTTATGATAAACATATCACATTACAAAACACATTTGCCATGCTCCAAGGCTAAGGCCATTAGTAAATACCAATGCAGATCTTTAAAGTGCATTCTCTCCATAGAGGATTTTTTTAAAAGGCATTTATTCTGTTAAATTTAAAATCTTATACTGTGGCATGTTGATGACAGACTTGTTAAACAGATACAAGCCTCTTCTTTGGAAGTAAAAACTTAAGCATTGTTGAACTATTGCTTAAATCATATCCTTCTCTAGTATGACAGAAAGTTATTTTAGTATATATATTTTCAGTACTGTGTACAAATATTTTGAGTGAGAAAGATAATACCCAGCCATTATTGTTTTACAGGAAACTGAAAGCTGAAGAAAAGATGTACTGTAACAAATTTTTGAAATCTAATCAGTAAGCTATCACTTAAGATGCCTCATGTCTGATGATATTTGATGCCAGAAATAATGTTCAATGCAATCAGAGTGTACAATTCCTCATCTTTTTTTCATGTGACCAGAACGTTACTCTTGGTTTTAATGTTATTTTGAAGACCTCAGCCATAATTTTGTCCCCTGTTTACTCCTTTAAGCTAAATATAGTACATTTACTCTGTCCATGACAGCGATTCAGCTCTTCTTTGTGGTGCTATGCTAGCTGCTGCTTCCAACTTTGGACAGAAGGGTTGCTCCCACTGGTGGCAGTGCAGTATAATAAAACCAATTTATAATCTCATGTATAGATTATCACTGATTGTACAATGGCAAGTTGCACAGAATGATATCTATACAGAAAATTTTTTTAAAGCTACAATGCTGTTACAGACCTCACATGGCGCAAATGGCATTGCATTTTTTTCAGTAGTCAGATCCCTTTGAAACAAAAATACAACTTCATATATTGAGTTTTCAAACTCTCATGTACTTTTATTTGTCTAGATTTGAACCCATTGAATCATGGAAGTACATTCTTTACTGCATATGTTATTTAGGATAATAAGAAGGCATGTCAGTGAAAATCTGGCAGTTACGTCCTGAGTTTATCAAATATACAAGCCATTGTTGACTTCCTGTGCTACTAAAACACAAATCAAGAAAGCAATGGACATTTTTATGCATCAATGGGAGATGACACCATCATCATCATGACTGGCCCAAATCTCAGACCTCTACTTTATAGTGTCAATTCACCTTAAAGAAGTGCCACTTAAAGGAGTTATGTTTTGATCTTGGGTTTTTTGGGGGAGGGGGGTTATTTTTGTTTTTTTGTAATGCACTGTTTATCTTTTTTGGTTTTAAAAGCACAATCACTAAACTTTATTTGTAAAACATTGTAACTATTAACCATTTTTGTCTTACTGTAAGATGTTAAGCTTTTGTTTTGTTTTTTCATGTTTTATTAATGCTCTATGTCTGTATTGGGGATGTTTGAATGCTGACAGATGGTAAAGGTAGAAAAACTAGAAAAGGCCATAAACAGAACATTTTTCCTGTTTCCTGAACTTTTGTTTCTTAAATTCACTGTGGCCTATCTCAACATTGGATTTCCAATGCACCTGAAATAGAGCCATTAGTTGCTTTTAAAGTTACAAAATGATGTCCTCTGTAGATTTTTTTCATGATCCCTTTTGTGATTATATAATTTTTTCGTCATCCGTCCTATTGAAAAACTGTGTGTTCGTTTATGGACATTTATCAGGCCTAGCCTCAGTGGAAGAAAAAAAGGAGTGTTTTGGTATTTACTGGGGTCTCAGAAGTTTCATTTAGCTGATTTTTAAGAATTGGTTACAATAGAGAAGGGTGTTCAGTACAGAGGGAACAACCCATGTGGTTAATGTTTTTCATTACGTTCATGTAAGAAACCTCATATTTTAGCCATAATTTTGCATACAAAGAATTCAATAATCATAAAAGTAATTTTTGTCACATTATTTATTAAAAACGTTCTCAAAGACGTCATTTTTTGCTCAAGTTTTTTTGTTGTTATTCATAGCTCCTCTTCAAGAACATTATCCTTGCAGTAATGCACAAACCCAAACAACAAACTATTCAAGCTTTATTGTGAAACCAAGTGAACAACAGCAAAATGGCCCATTCTATCACCATAGAACAGTGGTCAGGGAACAGGGTTAAATTACTCCAAATGGGATAAAAATGAAAATCCTGGGGGTAATGAGGACGTGACCCTAACCCTCTTCCCTCCTCCTCCTCCTTGTCTGCCTAGAGGGGGGTCCCCGGCAGCCTAATCGCCCCCTTCCCATCCCCTTCTCTGGCCCAGCTGCAACCGAACCACTGGCTTCCTTCAGCGGCACCTCCGTGCTGGCCAGCTGGGCCTAGAGAAGCCTCTTGCCCTCTGTGCAGCAGCTGTTGTGGCGCTTCAGCGGCGAGGCCCGCGGCTGCCCCAGCGAGCAGCCACTGGAGCCAGTTCCAGAGCGGGAGGCAGCATTGGATGGCCCCGGGGGGGGGGCAAGCCACCTGCTGCTCTTCAATGGCCACCCAGGAGCCATCCACTGGCAGAGAAAGGGAACTGCCCCCATGGGGCCAAGGACTGAGCGCGGCCCTACCAGGCGGTGGCAAAGGAAGTGTCGGCAGCAGCTCAGGCGGCGAGGCTTCGGTGGCGGCACTCGACTGGCCACATGTGACCAAGATCCTTCCTTTCAAATCAAGGGGGTAATGTCGGCATATATAAATTTTTAGAGGGTAAAAGGTAAAAAAGTTTCCTGATCCCTGCCATAGAACATTTATTTATTTGTTTGTTTATTTATTTTTATTAAATAATGTTGAGGTTGGATAGTTTGTAAGGTATCAAGACTGGAGCTGACTTTTACAAAGCTAACAATTTGGGTGACGGCAAAGTCCTGGGTGCCCAGACCTAAGAGGCACTTTGTTCTTTTGTGGGATCAGTTGGTTCTGTGACACCCAGTCAGTGCTAATGGGCAGCCTTTATCCTCACTAGAATTGTGATTCCAACTGTAACACAATACACTTCTTCATATGCAATAAGTTATGAACACAGTCATACGGGGGGAAAAGTTGGTCATTGAGGGGACAGGGGCATGTTCCAGATGTTCTGTGCTACAGATATGGAGAAGGAATTGAAAGGGTGCAGCAGGAAAAGCCTCAGATACACCTACTGACCAAGAAGCACCAACATATTATTAAGGCGTTCAATGGAAAGGGTGGTTTGATCTCTGATGAACAACACACCATCATATCCAAAGCAGCTTGCAATCCTAATACAAAAAAATAAAAAATAAAAAGTGGAAGCAGGGGTAGCCTGCCTGGGAAAAGATAGCAAAGACATGGTCAGCTTGGCTTCCTGTGGGAGGGAGTTCCAGAGTCTGGGAGCAGTGACAGAAAAAGCCCTCTCCTGTGTCCTTACCAAAGCACACCTGTGACATTGGCAAGATGGAGAGAAAGGCCTGTCTGATTATGTTAAAATCCAGACAGGTTCATAACCAGTGTGGTCTTTCAGGTAGTTTGAAAGAGTATTTGGAGAATATGTTTTGAAAAAGTGTTTAGTATTTTAGATCTGTGCTTGAAATGTTCTTAATAATTGTTGTTAGGGATAATTCTCAATTTCAGAAACAGGACTGCTTGGAAAAGCTATAACTAGGGTGATGTGGCCAGGGCTCTCCCCTAGGGTGCAGAAATCTAGAGGATGCAAAAATCCAGGCACCTTATTCATTTCTTGGGATGGGTAATTTTTCATTTACAAGCCTTCTGCTAGTTTTCAGAGAACCATGCAGTGGATACTCTCACTCTGCATCTCCGTATCTTGGGCAGTAGGCTGAAAAATGACAGGAACTGTCATCCAACAAAATTTGGAAGATCCCACACACACCTCCAACCTTGCTCTAGCAAGAGAAGCAAGAAAACAGCTGCAGGAAATGCTGAAGAGATCTTAATGGAACTTCCTGAATTGTCTGGTCTTCCATCTTTTGGCAAAACGCTAGCCATTGTCTTTGGTTATCATTTAAACACGTGAAGAAAAAGGGCATGTGCTACTTAAAATCAGTACATTTTAACAATTGCATTTCTAATTATCATAAATTGCAGCAATAATAAATTAACAACATTGGGTCCTATTATAATGGATTTTGAAGTACTTGGTTTTTTTTTAAAATGCTGCTTTTGGAGCCCTTCTTGGAAATTACTTGAACTCATCTTTCTGAATTCTCATACACCCAAACATGAAAAACAATGCTACTCTTACATCCTGTTCATTGACAGGGGAATCAGAGCACGTATCTATCTAGCCAAGAAATGTTTAATGGCCTCTGGACATATTTCTCATGAAATGCTAGCAGCATTAAGAAGGTGGAGAATCTATTCTTCTTATATATAATGAATTGCATGTACCTGTACAGTGGTGTTTCGACTTACGGCCATAATCCGTTCCAGAAGATGGACGTAACTTGAAAGTCGAAGCACCATTTCCCATAGGAATGCATTAAAATGCAATTAATCCATTCTGGCCGAAGAAAAAAATCACCAAAAAAATCACTGCAAGACTCATTAGAAATGCGATTAATCCCTTCCGGGGGGGAAAGCAATTGAGCGTGCAAGACCTATCAGAAATGCACAGAAAACAAATGGAGCAGATCAGAAATGCACAGAGAACAAAGGGATCAGTTCGGAAATGCAAAGAGAACAAAGGAAGCATGCAAGATCATTGGAAATGGGGAACTCCCCCAAAAAGCAACCAAACCCCAAGACCCATCAGAAATGGGGGGAAAACAAACAAACCCCTCAAGACCCATCGGAAATGGGGAAACAAACAAACCCCCCAAGACCCATCGGAAATGGGGAAAAACACTCCAAAAAGCAACCAAACCCCCCAAAACCCATCGGAAATGGGGGAAAACCCAAAAACAAACAAATCCCACAAGACCCATCACAGCACAGAAACATAACCCCCCAGCCCAAAACCATACTGCAAAAACACCCAGAACAGTTTTCAAAAAGGAGAAAACAGCACCTTACCTTACCAGGCAGCCTTTCTGCGATCGCACACTCTCTAACTGGCTGGGGCAAAAGAGCTACAAAGAAGCAGCCTTGCCACCACCTACAATTAGAAATTTGAATTTCCCACCTTTCCCCCCCTGCCTTTTTCTGTTCATAAGTGAAAGCTCCAGTCGCAAGTTGTAGCAAAATTTTATGGCTGGAGCTGGTCATAACTCGAAAGGGTCGTAAGTAGGGACGTTCGTAAGTCGAGGCGCCACTGTATATTTGAAACATGTTTTGACATTCTCTGATGGGTGCAAATAAAATGAAGAGCAAATAATAGTAAACTGTTCATATAATAAATATAATTGTTTATGCTTTCATGGACAATTAGGAATAAACTCAAGAATGGTCATAATAGTTGCTACAGGGGGAAACAGCTACAGTGGGGTCTTGACTTAAGAACGGCTCGAGTTAAGAACATTTTGACTTAAGAACCACTCTCTTAGGAAAATATTGACTTGACTTACATACTTAGATTTGAGTTAAGAACTGAAAAAAAACCACGTGGGAGGCAGGGAAAATGCAAAATTTGAACTTCCAGTTAACTGTTGGCCAGTGAAAAGGATGCCTGTCTGCTTCCTCACTCCTCCCAGCGTTTAGAGAGTGGATTGGGAGACAGTCTTCGGACTGCCTGGTACTGTACTGCCTGGACTGTATTTTCCCTGCCTTCCCTGAACCTTTCTTGACCTAAGAAAAAAAGAAACAAAATATCCCCCTCTAGTGGTCGAAGGCGGAATAGCAGCTTCCCATTAGTTTCTATGGACGGAAAAGAGCAGATACGGATCAAATGGTTTTCAATGCATTCCTATGGGAAATGCAGATTTGACCTGAGAACTTTTTGACTTGAGAACCACCTTCCAATACGGATTAAGTTCTCAAGTCAAGACCCCACTGTAATAGTCATGTAGCAATGTGAAACTATACTTGCTGTTTGTTCCTGCCAACATAAGCCATATTCTCAGAAATGGAAAATGGGCATTTTGGTTGCTAGACGTTCCCTTCATAACACAAGTCTAAAAATAAAAGGAAACCCTCCTTCAGAACTGCAGCATGTCCTCTCACACACTACTTTAAAGATATTTAAAGGTGATTCACTTGGTTGTTCCAAAATATATCCATATACACAATATATGCATATACACTTCAGAATTCATTTGGCTGCTTCTGCCTTCTGTCACATCATGACCCAGTGCCATTGGAAGCCATGCATGCCCATGCCATCACACTGCTATCACCGTGTTTTCCAGATACTTTGGATCCTGAACCATTCCAGGCCTTCTCCATACTTTTTTCTTCCCATCATTCTGGTACAGGTTGATCTTAGTTTCATCTGTCCAAAGAACACTGTTCCCAGAACCGGTGGCATGTCTTTCAATGTACAGTCAGTTCTGTGGCAATAATTTATCCAATCACCTATACTTCAGTTAAACCTCAGGGGAAGGTGTCACAAGGCAACTCCTTCCATAGGGGTTGTTTTGGGTCCCCCCTAAAAAAAAATCAGGACCTTCAAGCTGTAGGAGAAGCTGCAGATGTGCACTGCAAAGGAAAAATCAATGCAACACTTTGCCATTCTATGGCAAACTCAAAAAGAAATCAAAAGAAATCTGAAAGAGCCTTGAAAATGTAGTAGAAAATGGAAGCCTCTGTCAAGGGTAAATAAATGTTTCAGATATTAGAGAACAAATCATAGAAGAGTATTAGCTTCACCTTTTCTTGAGTATCAACAAAATACTTCCCTCCCTCATAGTGCCTAGAGGTTGTACATAAAAAAATCCAGCCCAGGACAAAGTCAGAGAGGTATACCTAGAGTGATATCCCTCAAATTAGTACCTGGAAGACCCAGGTAAGGTGCTGAACCCTGAAATGCTTAACCATATTTTTCGGAATACTTTCCAAAACCGTTTGGCAGAATCTTGTTAGGAAACATGGAGCATAAACAATTCCGTAGT